CTACATATGTCTCCGCTCCGCTGCGGCCTGACCACAGCAGCAAATACACACCCATTCTAATCAATAAGAGAGTTTACACTGGCTCCGCAGGGCGGAGGTGAGCAGATAGCAATCCGATAAAATTAGAACCAATCCTATTTTTGCTGGATGCAGCTCCGGAGTCAATCTACAAAGATCACATCACACCAACAGGAAAAGGAASAAGCACAACATCCTTATTTTCAGAATAAGAYACCATAAGGCAGAATCATTTTGTCAAAATCCCAGCTATATTAATAAATAAATGTATATATTTCTGCACAAATGCTGGCAGAATGTATTGTTCTGTTTGGGAAGCAGATGGCAATAGCATCTGCATCTGCATGTGAAGAACATGTACACACACAATACACAAGGATTTTATTTTGAAATCAGAAGTTTCAAAAAGACAACAGTGATACAGCACAACCATAGATATCAAAAGCCAGGTTTGTCCAGTAGCCTCCCCACCACCAGATCCATTTACCACCAGCTGGTGATCAGTTGACAGTTCTGTTCCTCAATGCATGCTGTGCATGGAGGTGAGCCCAACTATATCTAGTCAGTACCTTTAAACCTCACACACAGGCTCATGCTCCTCCCAAATTCTGGCGTTTTTTGGTGGTTGGCATCAAGAAAACTTGCAGAGGTTTGCTTTAATTTTGATAGTCCACTTCTGCTTACCTTTTAGGAATTAGTTTACAAATTAAATGTAAAAAAATTAGTAGGTTCTCTGGGTGGGTTTTTCTTTAATGAAAAGTTTTGTCTTTCCTCCAAGAGACTTCTTCAGTCTGAAACTCCTCAAACTGAAGAATCCAACTTTTCTTCTTGGATTACTGAGAAACATCAGGATGCAAATTAAATATTTAATTTGGAGCTAAATATTTAGCTTGCTAACTAAATAATTAATTTGCAAATTAAATATTTAGTTTGGAACTATGACATTTATAAATGTATGAATAACATGGTGAAATTATGATTTTGAAAAATAATTCCCTAGTTTTTTTTTTTCTTACGAAAGGTTGAATGAAGCAAAATATTGCTCTTTGGATTTGATTGTGTCATTTTACAAACGACACCCCATACATTCAATATCAGAAACTCCTCCACCAAGATAAAGTGACAATTCAAGGAGGAGTGCAATTAGTCTTTTTAATAAAAAGCTAATGTGCAAATAACTCTAAATAGCAGCCTCTCTCCAGCATGAGGGGCTGTTTATCTGCCCAGCAGCATTTAGATGTAGCTTTGTCCAAAATGAATTAAAGGAACATTCAACTGTATAAAAATAAAGAATAGTCTATCCTGTTTGAAATCTTGCTGCAACTGTAGTCCAAATGTTTAAAAAAGGCTTCCAATGTAAACAAAATAACTCTTTCAGACCAAAATAAATAAATAAAAAAGACTTAACTGTTTACAAATGTGTTAAATTACAGAGCTGGGGCCTCATGTAAAAAGACTTGCGTGGATTTCTTACTGAAACCTGACGTACGGTCAAATCCAGAAAACGGCGTACGCACAAAAAAATCCAGATGTATCAAACTGTGCGTACGCCTGAATCCACGAACATTTCTTTTGTACATCACAATTAACGTGGAGCTGAGCGCAGGTAAGACACCTCCCCTGACACGCCTTCATTAACAGATGCAAATTACTTCCTGCATGTGTGAAGGACACGTTTGAGTGATCCCTGCACGATCAGAAATGATTTCTAAAGTCATAAAAATATGAATTAAATGTAATTTGAGTGAGAAAAATAAATATCCTAAGTAAAAATAGGAATAAAATATGTTTATCACGCAAAGAACGAGTGATTGTGTGTCGGTGTGTGTGTGTGTGCGTGCATGCTGCTGTGTTGCACAACCGGCTCATCCATCCATTCTGAGTCTGAAAATATTAACTTTGTGCACGAGTTTATTACCATAATTACTGTAAACACAGAGGAACTTAGATGTTTGGTAGAACATAGATCTTAGTTTATTTCRTAGCTGATATTAAGAAACGAGTCTCTGCGYCTCAGTAGAGTTCACATGATGTGATGTTAGAGAGTCYCCACAAACACTGCGCGCCGCAGCCTTTGTGCACAGTCTGTTTGTCTGTCAAGCTTTTGCTTTCCTACTTACAACATTTTCACAAGTTGTAAAGTGTACTTCCACGTGTCATTTTGGAGAAATCTACAGCAACGTATGAAACCTCCACTGGCAGCGAGGGTGTGCGCGCTCCAGAGCGCGACCATAACTCAGCCTTTAGAATCATATGGATGAGACGATTCCATTGGTCATGATTCAGCTTTGGGTGGACTGACACAGTCCCAATGGGTCTGCCAGCTCCCTCTGGAAAGCTCCTGTGGAACCCCAGTTCAATCGCTGCTGCTGCACGTGCACGCGTGGCGCACGTGGCTACTCGCTGCGTCGCGCTCCCAGAGCAGTGCCAAACTAAAAATGATTATTCCTCAAAACGGCTGATAAGACACTCGTCATCAGAAAATTCTATCTGTTTATAAATAAATGCTCTACGTGTTACACTATTTATTATATCCTCCAGTAAGGCTGAATCTGTTCCTGTTAAATGTATTTTTGGCACAACTTTGCGCGTCTTATTTAACTGCGTCCATGTGGATGTAATAATTGTTAATCATGTGGATGTAATAATTGTTAATCATGTGGATGTAATAATTGTTAATCATGTGGATGTAATAATTGTTAATCATGTGTGTCTGCTGTGAACAATAATCATTTTCACATCATGAACAGTTTCTCAGAATCACCTCTAAGTGTCTCCAATGGAACCAGAACCACAGAAACGTGCGTACACCAGCCCTGGAGTTGGCGTGGGGCTGCGCACATTTCCACGTTCAGTTGAGTTTTGATACATCCGGAGTTTTGCGTGGAAAATGACGTACGCAAGGTTTTTGTGCGTACGCAACGTTGATACATGAGGCCCCTGGAATGTGAGTGCTAGCCTCACTCCAGAGCCACATGCTCTGGAGTGAGGCTAGCACTCTTCTTAGAGATGATCTTCAGCTACTAAGAAGAGATGCTCAGAGAGAGTAGAAGCAGCAGGAATGCACGTGAATGATTTGACTCGTAATGCAAGAGCTGGATTGTTCTGCTTCCAATACCGTCATGACCTACCATCAAAAAGCAAAACATGAAAGTTAACCTGGTGGTTAAATCAGATTGCATTTAGTTTTAAATCTTCATGCATATGCACTGGGTGCAACGATACAGAAAATTCACGATTCGGTTTGGTTCGATACTTTAGTCTCAAGGTTCGATATTTTTTCGATTCAAAAAAGAGAAATTTCCATGCCCCTTTTAACTTGTAATTTATTTAAATAAATTATGAACATTTGTTTAACCTCAAAAGTACAGTTTTTAAATTAAATGTTGCTGAAACAGCAAGTTTCTCAGTGGATCTGCGCTCAAAAATGCAGCCTAGATGGAGTAGTCAAACACAGATCCACTGATCCTTYAACACAGAGCATCTTCAGAAAACAAGTTGATAAAGTAAATTTTAAAAATCTGTATTTTTCAATACAAGTGTGTATTGAACCTAAAGCACTGTTCAATACGGTTTGATATGGGTACATGTATTGTTGCACCCCTAATATGCACTGTTCCTGTTTAAATAAATAAACCACAAAGATTAGATTCAGAGCTTCTGAATTAATGACTTAGTACTAGACGCTATCAGAAACTGTTCCAATGTCTTGTCCTTGAAATGGAGATTGTGTAGAGAATAAATGAGCTAACAATTCTTGAAAAGGGTTTAATTAGGAAGATATCGATTTAAGTGGGGAAGGGGTAGACGTTCACCCTTCAACCAGAGAGTTGCCAGTTAAAATTCCTGCCCAGGTGCACTGGCTGTGTCTCAATTTGTAGACCGCAGCCGACATTGGCCACAGTGTCGGCTGCATAAACAGCTKTGAACTGAGATGGTCTAGTCTACAGAAGACGTAAGTTTGCGTGACCACACATCAACTGTTCAGCTTTGGAACAAGTATGTTCCAGCCTTTAAGCAGGTGACAAATGTGGCCGACGTCAGCTGCAACCCATGAATTGAGACACAGCCACTGTCGTAGTGTCCCTGAGCAAGACACTTAACCCACCCTCTTTGTGTAAATCTGTTGGTGTGTCTGTGTTGGTGGGGCTGTAGGTGCATCCACTTCCACCACAGAGTGTGCCTGAGGAGTGAAGGAATAATGCAGGAAATGACATTTTAAAGCATCTTTCAGCATCTTGAAAAGTGCTATATAAGTCAAATGCATTTTTATTATATATTTGGAGTATGGCAGTTATAAATGAGCATTTAATTTTATGACATGTCAACACTAATTTCTGTGTTGACTAATTCTTTAATTTGACAATGATTATTTAGTCGACTAATCATTGCAACCCTACTTGCATGACTTGGGCTTTAACTTTAATTTCTCAATGATTTACTTCAAATAACTTCACAGAACCAATGTACAACCCATTACAGAACTTCTTTGCTTCAGTGCTGGCTGGTATGGCAAAAATATCATCAAATTTCTTTGATAATGTCAAATTCACAGAGTCTGTCTTTACAGCTGTCTAGTTTGTCAGAGGTTTGTCTGGTCAGCAGGATGGGTTAGTGGTTAGCATTACTTCCTCACAGCAAGAAGGTCCAAGGTTCAGTCTTTTTGTGTGAACTTTGCATATTCTGCTTGTGCTTGCATGGCTCTTGTCCAGGTACTCCAGTTTCCAAAGGAGGTCCTTACTGCATACTTACTTTCAGATTTAGGCTTTTGTTAAAACTTCCCATCTTTGGTATGACATAGCTTACACAAGCCAGTGGAAGCTGGATCAGCATTGATCTTATTTAAATTTTCAGCTTGTTGTTTTTCCCTGCAGCATCCTGTAAACCTGCCTGGCAGGTGGGAWATGTTGGAAAAGCAGTTTTTGTGCAGCGCTGTCAGACAGCTGTTTGCTGAAGCTTACACACCTGTGTGTGTTTTCCAGGGGTCAGTCTACTCGTTCCTCCTGGAGCTGTGGCTGAAAATATGTCCCGGGAGATGTACGTGCTCATCAATCTAGGAGAGGCAAGGTGAGGCTCTGCTTTATCCAAATATCATTCCAAGCATCTGTCTGTCTCTTTATCTGAGGATCCATCTGTTCTGTCCCACCACTGACCTGCTTCTCCCCAGAGATTTGTTGTCTTTTGTTACTTTGATTTAAATTACAGCTGCAGTGTTTAGAGACAGTAMGTTTCAACACCTTACTGTCATAACTTATTATAACGTTCACTGTGCCCTGCAATTCTTCATTCTTCTTTTGAAGGCTTCTATGTCAAAGGAATATGTTTTTTCCCAAACAATTCTTTGTTTATTAAAATGTATTGAGCCTGTTTTATTTGTTCTAAAAATCATTCCTATTTTTCTCCTTCAGTGGATTRACCCTTTAAGACTGGCGTAAAACAGTTTTAAAGCTGTGAGGATAATTCACAGTAATTGTAAGAAAATTTTGGAAAACATCTGAAAGACAACATGGAAGGTAAAATCTAATAGTTAAACACTTCTGATAGGAGCTTTATTCCTTTGGTCAGTGTGATTAGGTCGGTTCTGAAACAATGYTGTCATGTTAGACAGTGAAATTTCACAGCTATGAAACACACTTGTTTAGGGTCACACACAGTGTCACTAAAGGCAGAGCCTGAAAGTTAAAATATTACGTTGTCATGTTTATATAATGCTTTGAACTTTAAACACGTTTTCAAATTAACTTAAACATTTTTAATTGTTTTAATTCAAAATCTTTGAATTTCCTCATTTCCTGTTTAGATACAAGATGAGATGGACTAGGAGGCAAATCAAGCTCCGCCTCCAGATTGCGCAATCCCTGTTGCAGGTTATGCAGCGAGAGCAGAATGTCTCTATATGTCAAGTAAAATATTTCTGAAAATTTTTAATATATCCCAGACTTTCCACAATTTAGCGGATGTTTATTATCTACACACGTGGACAAAATTGTTGGTATCCCTTCGATTAATTAAATAAAAACCTGCAATGGTCACAGAAATAACTTGCATTTAACAAAAGTAATAATAAATAAAAATTCTATGAAAATGAACAAATGAAAGTCAGACATTGCTTTTCAACCATGCTTCAACAGAATTTAAAAAAATAAAGAAAGAAAAATAGGCCTGGACAGAAAAGATGAAAAACTAAACAGACTGATGAGGCGGTGGCAGCAACTGAGACTAATATGAACGGAGAGCAGGTGTGGGTGGGTGTGGCAAGACCGAGGAGAAGAAACTAACTATGGAAAAGTACTGGGAAGATGAACTGGTGGCAGCAGGGTATCCACGGGGTTGTAAAAAGTATTAAAAATCAAATAAGCAAAAATTAAAGCCATTAAAAAGAATTCAAAGGTAATAAATGTCATCTGACGAGGTATTAATTTTTTAACAACTAGCGCACTTTCGCCATGCTGGAATCTGATGCGCTGCTGTGTGGAAAACAGATTTAACAAACATTTCTCTGGCCCAATCTGAGACGCAGCTTTAACTTTAGACAGGCCTATTAGCCAATCAGAAACAGTGTGGGGGCGGGACTTAAGTGTCTCAAGCAGCAGAAGTTGAAGCGGTGTTTTAAATAAAACATATTTGTTAGGACACGTCTGAAAAAGAACAGGAGACAATATCAAAGCTGAATGGTTGTTAAAAGTCAGAAAAGATAAACTAGCAGRAGGRYTACTGACTCCACCACCTGAGAGGAGCCGTGTGTCGGTGGATGCTAGCTTTAGCTAAAGCTAGCTGGAGTGGGGGGGAGCAGGCGGGTGCAGCAGGTGAGGAGATTAAAGTGATGACTTTATAAGAATGACCTGGGAGATAACATCAATCAACAGGTGTGTGTTTACTGGTACAAACTGACACAAAACAGTTATATTTGTTTGAACAAAAAAGTAAATTAAAGCTGTGTC